TGATAAGTTCCTTTCTTATCTTATTCACGTGTAAACTCTCGAATTGACATCACACCTAAATGTAGCAAATATGAGAAACTATTGAATATTGAGTTATTTAATAGCTCACATTGAGAACATTGGGGGTTCGGCTGAACTCAATAACTTTGATTTAGATTATATATTCTTTTTGTTTCATATTATTTAGGTCATATTGACTTGACACGTTCCTTAAAAATACTTTTATTAGGGGTGTATTACTAAATTTAGCTCATATTAACTTGAAATTCTAAATTTAACCATTAATTACTTTATATAGTTATTTAATACTAAAAATAGAACGAAAAATAATAATAATAATATATATATATATATATATATATATATATATATTAAAACTCTCTTGATTTTCTAAATTGGACAAGTAAAAAAGAAATATCTATTTTTGATATAAGAGTCAAATAATATGAAACAAAAAGAGTATATTAATAAACCTACTAAATTACTTTACTTTACTCTTATTTAGAAATGAGACTTGGGTTGGAGGAACACGGCAGCAGATAGTAGTACCAAATGTTACATGAGATGTACTATCTACAATTTAACTTTTTTAAGCTTTTGCCTTCTCACACAGACACGTGTATTGCACTTAAATTACAATGTTTTGTTTCTTTTTGGACATTTGCCTACCTTTTCAATTTTTGTTTCCAAGTCTCTTTCTTCGGTCTCTTTCCTACTCTCACTTACATCTTCTCTCTTCTTTGTTTATTAATCCTCTCTGCAAATTACAAACTAATAATAATTGTAGGATGAGAAATAAGGGGCCACAGTTTGGACACTTTTGACTCAAATCACATTCTAATACAGTAATTTAGACTTCAGAGGGAAACATACTGGGAATAAAAAGAGAGGGAAACGTCAATTTTTTTATTTTTTTGCCAATTTTTTAAAAAAAAAAAACTAGGACTGGCAAATTCAGGTCTCTATCACGTGCCAATGGCAGGTTGGTACATTACTCTACTTATTTAAAAATAGTTTAATAATTTTGATGAATTATTAAGCATTAACTCGATAGGTAAGGGGCCATTATTATTGATGAATAATGAGTGAAAGCCTATTTTATTTAGTTTATTTTGTACTATTTATATTATTATTATTATTATTCTATTGATTTTTATTACAGAGATTGAAGCTGATAGTAGTATAGTGTAGGCCCCAGTGTTCACTACGTGGCAGACAGCATCGTATTAACTTTCCAACTGGGTCCCATTATATTGGGGCCCATCACGTGGGTCCATTAACCTGGCCACTTTCTATATCTGAGACTCTTCTCTAATTAAAAATAATTTAAGTTTAAGTAGTGATTTTTTTTTGTTAATTTATTTAATTAAGGGGTTCTTAATTATATTCTGAATGGGTTAGTGGCACAAAGTCGGCTGCGTAATGACACTGGCGTTGGGTCCGGTAACTTTCGGCAATAATTTCTTAATCATATGAGGCTTATGAGTAGAATAAATTATTTTGAGATTAGTTACTTTTTTATTCTTCGTATCAAAGAGCTTCAAGAGTTTTCCCTTAGAGTTTATGTTATGTGCGCATCCCGTAAATGATTTATGACATTAAAATTCATTTTATATTATTTGTCGTGATTATTTTTACAAATATTAATTAGAAGTTTCTTAAAACTATTTTACCCTTCAATCTTATTTGAACATTATAACATTACCCATATATAATTAAGGCATTTACACTCTTTAAGAACAATATATAGCCATTAGGGTCAGTGGCAGAGTTAAGATTTTCAATAAGGGGATTCAAAATTTGTAGAAAATAGACACATGAAGTAGTCGAAGGGGATTCAACATCTACTATATATACATAAGAAATTATTTCAACCATGTATAAATAATATAATTTTTCGCCGAATGGGGTTTGGATGAACCCCCTTAGTACAAGTGGCTCTGCCCCTAATTAGGGTAAAATGAAAAAATAAAATTTTAACTTTTAAAACAATAAATATTTTGAGATAATTATTTTTAGAAATTACGTTAGATAATTTGAGACCGGGGGGGGGGTGGGGGGGGGGGGCTAATATACATTGATTTTAAATACTGATTTCGGATTCAACTTACTTTCTGAGCCGTCCATTTTTACTTGTCAATTATTTTAAAAATATACAGTCAATTTTTACTTGTTTAGTTCAAAAAATCAGGCGATTATTTACCACTTTATAAATCTATTATTAAGTACTACTAGTTAGTTAAATGAGTGAAATGGTCTATAATAATTAAAGTGATATAGTAAAATTACTATTCTATTTATTACTTATTGATAGAATGTATCAAGTTAAACATGATAAAGTAAAAGTGAATAGAGAATAGTATATTTCTGTTTTCATTTGGCTCAATAAAACTCGTAGGAACCTTTACATTGAAAACAAAATTATTGGTATAATTAATTGTCAATTATAGAAACTTTAATTAAATTTTTATCAACTGTTCACTGAATGATGGGAAACAGGAATAACTCCTAATTATGGCACCGTTTTATAAGGGATATTGTTTAGAGTCTATGATATAAGGAAAAGATTTCCAAGATTTATTTGGGGAAAATATGAAAATAATTAAGTAATAAGTACTACTTACTTTTTAAATTATGAAAAGACGTCCTACAATTTTTATTTTTGATTTTTCTACCATGCAAATCTAGTCTAAGATAGTGTAACCACATACATATTTCACGTGTGATTAAGATAACCATATGCTTTTGGCCACTTGATTTAATTTGCACCAATAATTATTTTTTTTACACTATTTCAAAAGTACTCCATAATTGGAAAAGATGGATCAATAATTTCATTTTTATTGTACTGGTTTGTGATTAATGCTGAAAAATCAACTCTATTTTTTAGGCGTGATTATATATGTCTGCATGACTTAGAAGTGTTTCAAAATATTTGGAACTAAAACTTGTCCAAAAATGACTGATAGTTGATAGTAACTGCAACTAGCAACGTGAGTTGTTGAGAGATGATTGAATCCTTTTTTATTTTTAATTAAAAATCTCGTGTTTGAGTTCTTAGAAATAGAAATAAAATTAGAAATTCGCTACCCCTAGAATGATGGTAATGCACGAATCCAAATTTAATCACTTACATCTAATGTGGAGTCCGGAGAACATAATTGCTCTGTTTTCAATAGTTCATGAAACCATATATAGTTATTATATCTATTCTACTTAGCCAACGATAAGAATATTACAACAACAATAATAGAATATTCAGTGAAATCTCACTAAGTGGGGTTTGGAGAAAGTAGAGTGTACGCATATTTTATTACTATCTTATGGAGGTGAGTCTACCAGAGAGAAACAATAACAACAACAAAATATTGTTGTACCAAAATGCAATATTTTTAATAATTAATAATATTTTATGAAAACTATTATTAATAAATAATAAAGGTCAAAAATCGATTAATATAATTATAATTTTTAGCAATCTAGGAAAATTCTGAAAGTTATCTAGAATGGTAGACATAGAACTAGAAAAAAATAATTTATTGGACAATACAAATCCCAAGATCATCTGCTTTCAACTGCATCTAATTTAATATAGTCTGAATTCAGAGAACTCATTTACTACTATTCTTACATATGAACAAAGTATTATTCATTTATTATAAGTTGTGGGAAGGTAGTCTTCAAAATTTATCATTTATTGTTAAAAAAAGAAGAAAAAGTACAATAATTAGATCAGTGAGAAACGTAGACTATTGACTCACACACCATGCAAAAGCCAAAAAAAAAGAAATCTTTATTTTTCTTGCCCACTCTATACGCTAAACGCCGTTGCCGCACGGTAGTTTCATAAATGTATATTTTTCTAAAAAAAGAAGTTATTTGATTGTGAAACAAATGAGGGTTTCTACGTTTTCTACTATATGTAGCTCGATTCATTGTTTTTACTTAACTTAAGAGTTAAGAGACGATTTTCAAACAAGTTAATCGGATGTCATCAAATAATGCTAGTTCTCAATACCCCTACACATATCCGAACTTACCAACTAGAGTGTGAACATGAATGATCAATATCGAGTAAATCAAGAATTAAAACGAATTTAATTCATATATTATGATGAAGCGATTTATGTTGGATTTAATTAATTCATATACTAGCTCATAAGGTAAAAGTTGTTCGAACCCATATAAAAAATCATCACATCCTTAAATAGCCAATGAGGAAACTCAACATATATGGCCTTTCTTTTGCTTTATGTAGACGGTACTCATGTTAAGTAAATTTAAGTTATTTTTTTGACGTTTGAGATTTATTTTTTATAACAAGATGTATATTCATACATTTTTTCAATCTCCTCGTTTAGTAATCTCAAATAATGATAATGTTGAACTTAGTTGATCTAAAGATGCTTTAAAAATATAATCTATACGCTTTTCTTCAAACATTTTATATTCTTAAGAGTTTTTACTGTGTAATTTTGATCGCAGTCTGAATAACGACTAGTTAAACTTCAACCTTATAATATACTGTTATTGCAGAGATCCCAATGTCAATTAGGCGGCTTCCATTACCTTTCTAAACTCCTTTTCACTAACATGGTAAGAAGCATCCTTCCAATTTATTCTCTCTTAATTAAATTATCTCCTTAGTACCTTATAAGTCAACTTTTCTAGAAAACCTAACTTTGTTACCACTTTCTTTCTTTCCTTTGTCTCTATCTCTCTTAGCTTCTTGTTGGGTCAACCAACCACGTTATTAACATTAATTATATGTCCCCCTAACTCTCCCTCTCTCTTCATTTGATTCTCCTTTTTTCTTTTCTTTTTGTTGTGTACCGTGTTTGATATTTATATTAAAGCTCAATTAAAAAAATACTTATCAATACTCCACTTCAAGTCATTTGATTCTCCTTTATAAAATGTAGTGGCATTCCCCCTCATAAACTCACCAACATTTTTCCAAAAGCTAAACAAACAAAAAGCACAAGTTTTCTCTCTGAACACAAAAATGGAAGAATTAGATGCCCTTTATCCACCAGATTCTGATCTTGATCTCAGTTTTACGAGCTGTGCTTCCATTACCACTACAACAACTGATCGTACACTCAGTGCGAGAAGCAGTTTGGCTCGTAGTAGTCTTACACTGAGCTTCAACGATCGTCTTTCATGTACGTCATCTACAAACAATCCATCTGCAGAAATCCCCAATTTTCACCGCCGTGCACACCGCCAGCATGACCCGAATTGGTCCGCTATTAAGGCGGTGACCACCCTTTCCTCCGACGGTGCTCTTCATCTCCGCCACCTTAAACTCCACCGCCTTGTTGGGTCTGGAAATCTCGGCCGAGTTTTCCTCTGCCGTCTCAGGGATTATGACCATGCTAATTTTGCCCTTAAAGTTATCGATCGGGATTCGCTTACGGCGAAGAAGCTTTCTCATGTTCAAACAGAAGCGGAGATTCTCTCCTCTTTAGATCACCCTTTTCTACCTACGCTTTACGCACATTTAGAAGTTTCACATTATACTTGCTTGTTAATCGATTTCTGCCCTAATGGTGATCTCCATTCCTTGCTCCGAAAGCAACCTCGTAATCGGCTACCGGTTGAATCAGTCAGATTCTACGCAGCTGAGGTACTCATAGCTCTCGAGTATTTACATTCTCTCGGAATAGTTTACCGTGATTTGAAACCTGAAAACATACTTATTCGTGAAGATGGTCACATTATGCTTTCCGATTTCGATTTATGTTTCAAATCCGAAGTTTCCCCAAAATTAGATTTCACTACCCGTATTCGAGAAGGATCTAGAAGAAGAAACAGTTGTTACGGTGACCGGCAACGGGAAGAAACAGTGACCGAGTTCGTCTCAGAGCCAACATCTGCATTTTCCAGATCATGCGTTGGGACTCATGAATACTTAGCGCCGGAGCTCATCAGCGGCGCCGGCCACGGCAATGGTGTAGACTGGTGGGCGTTTGGGGTGTTACTATACGAGTTGTTGTACGGTACGACGCCGTTTAAAGGAAACAGTAAAGAGTCCACCCTGCGCAATATAGCATCAAGCAAAGGAGTGAAGTTTTACGTAGATGAAACTCAAGGAAATGAAGCTGAATTGAGAGATTTAATAGAGAAATTGTTAGTTAAGGATCCAAGGAGGAGGCTAGGATGCACCAGGGGTGCAACAGATATTAAACGTCACCCATTCTTCGCCGGAATAAAATGGCCGTTGATCAGAACTTACCGGCCACCGGAAGTTCGGGGATTAACGATAAAAAGGACGAAGAGTAAGGCGCACGTGAGTCACGTGACTGGATTATCATCACCAAGAATAAGAAGGCGTTGTTTATGGAAAAAATTGGGTTATCTAATGAGGATTAAGGGATCTAAGTACAATTTAAACTCTAATCATAATTATTATTGTCATACTAATCACAAGGTTAGAAAATGTGCTTAAATCCATTTCAACCTTTTGTAAAACCATTTATATTGTCTTTTTTCCCCTTAATTTTTTTTTTTTGGTATAAGTTTGTAAAGGAGGTAGAGAACATCAATTTTGGGGGGGGGAGATGTTCAAATTTTTTCCTTCTTTGGTTTGTTTCCTTTTTTAAGGAAATTTCATACATATTTGTAAATGAAAAAGAAAGTTATGGAAGAAAAAGTATTTCATTAATTATGTATCAATTTTTTTTTACATGCTTTCTCATTCAATCCAACCCTATAATCTCTCTATAAGCATCTTTCCCAAAATAAGGATAAAAATTTATTTGTATTGGGCACTAACATCAAGCTAATAGATGCATGATGCATAGAATAGCATTTCATTATAGTTCGAAAGCAAAATCTAGAGAAGGTAAAATGTATGTAAATTTTATTACTATCGTGAGAAAATATAAAAGTTATTTCTGAAAAGCTATCTGCTCGAGTAAAACACATCTTTTCACTTCATTAAACACATCTTTTATATATATATATATAAAATAATAAATTTACATGATTTTGACAAAAATATTTTTGATTAATTATGATTGTCTCCTTTCCTTTTATTCCCCTTAACCACAATACATTAGTAGTTCTTTTTCTCTTTTTTTTTTTTTTTTAAAAAAAAACTCCTAATTGCTTTCCATGTTGTCATTTGTTGTTGCTGGACCAAAAATGTTCTTGTTTGGCATTGAAAAGAAAAAAAGGCTACTTTATATGATGTTCCTCACATATGCTAATGATGAGTTTGTAATATGATATTTTAATAATTAAATGAATGATTTTGTCCCATTTCTTAAAATTGTAAACTCCTGTTAGAAGTGAATATGCTCATCATAATAATGTCTTGATATTATTGATCAATCTTTATGTTGTTGGAACTTTACTTTTGCTGGAAAACATTATTATGACACATTGACATTGAACAGATTCTTAGTCTATATTTATATCATGTATAAAAAAATGTACAATTTACCTAATATTAAATGACAAAAGAAAGATCGAGACATTATATCGATTATTTTTTTCTTTATACTTTATTTGAATGTGTTTTTTGTTATGCTATTAGCTATTCTATTGATTCTTCTCCAAGCAGAAATAGCCAGACATTCATTCATATTTTATTTTGTAGTCTTCTAGTTATCATGAAGTTTTTATGATAAAAGGCTATAGATCATCGATAGTGACATTAACGAGTAACAAAAAGAAAATGAGTGATAATTCACTGTTAAACGTGGGACATCAAACTAAACATGAACATATGATGGCATGTGGGAGCAATATGGTATGGTACCACAATTCATGCAAATTGCATATGGGTTTCCAAGGTTTTGACTTATAATTAGTCAGCAATATTTATTATTATTGTTAATTATTCGTATTAATTAATATAATAAGAAACCTAACTTTGGTGGATGGTAACTGGGAGAAGGGACCAAATTAATACTAGTACAATAATATAGTATTTAGTTGTAAAATAATTTAAGAATGGATAGAAACCTAATTATTCCAGAAGGTTTCAAATAAATTATAAAGCCTACTTGCATATTAAATAAAAGTTGCCAGTACAGCTCAACATCGACCGACCACAAGAATTTTTGCAAAAAATTAAGTTACAAGTTGCAAGACTAATAACAATGGTCCCTTTACTAGAAAGTAACATTTATCATTAATGTTACTTAACTATATCTTTATAATAATAATTATTTTTTTATTAAAAGATAGACGAAAGTTAGGTATGTATTCTTTCTTTACCAGGAAAAATACCTTGTTATCATCTATATTGATGAAAAATAAAGCGTGTAGAGTCCAACTAACAAGTTAAGGATTGAATTCTTTTAAGTATAGCCTTAAGCAATAAATGGATTCAAGTAATTTCTTATGCCATTATATCAATAATACATTCTTTATAAAATTACCTTTTTAAAATAGTATTACACAAATATTAATTTATTTTGCCTTTTGTATTGAATGGTGTTAATTTTGATACGAAATTTCTCACTTCCGTTTGAGATATAAAATTAGAAATTTTATTTTCACATAAAAGATATTTTTTTCTTATAACAATTAGCTGATAAGATCATCTAAATGTCAAATGTTATTATAGATATATAAGAACCATTTACTATAATAGCTAACAATAGTCCGGACAAACACGCAATTATAAAGAGGTCTGACCGTATATACAAATCCAAGCACAAAATATGTTCTTTATGGAAACCAAGAATGCCAACTATGACTATATATTATAAGATTATTTCAGAAATAACCAAATGATTAGTAACTGAATACCAATTAGGCAGTTAATGTGGAGACAGATCATAGAAGTAGATATAATTTAGAAGATAAATAGATAAGAAATGCCAACTAATAATTATTAGAGGGGAAGTATGGTATCAAAGGTAGTTGTGTGTACATGAATAATAAGATCCTTCTAACTCTATTAGAAATTTGGCAGAGCTTGAGATGAGCCACAACTTCAATTTTCTGTTTTTTGGTCTATGGTTGCTTAATTAGAACCTGCAAGAAACATAAAGTGGATGCATTTTAGTTTTTTATGGATGATAATCTGAATATATGTTGCTCGGACTCTCCAAAAAAATATCCTTGGATGAATGTAGGATCCTCCAAAAGTAGTGTCTGATGATATTTTTGGAGAGTCCGTGCAACATTCTGAATCGAAATTATCAGACATGTATAGCATGAATACACAAATGCTACTAAAAAAATGTAGAAACTGGTTGCTGTTAGTAAACAGACATGTATGTGATTTAGCTGATTTTTCTTTGTGAACCTCCATTCAGTATTGAATAATTCCTTTTATTATTAACTAAACTTAGAATTATGGACATGAAAAATGAGAATTCCTTTCTTTTGGGGCTGCTATAAACACAGGTATTGATTCGATATGTGTTTAAATGATATACAATCAAACATCTCTATAACAGTTTTACTTGTTCCAATATTTGGCTCCTATAGCGAAATGTTGTTATAGAGAACATGTAATGTAACATAACATGAAAATTGGTTCCATAGAAAACCCGTTTGTTATAGTGAAATGTTGTTATAGAGGATGACTGTTATAGAGATGTTTGACTGTAGTGAAAAAATTGAAAGATAAAGAGGAAGTTGTTTTTATGCACCTTTATTAGCATCAGCTTCACTCAGAGGAGTTTCGGAGGATGGTGATGGTGGTGAAGTGCACACAAATTCCCGGGCTTCAATCAGCATGGCGATGACTTCTCGCATTGTAGGCCTATTGGCAGGGGATGTATTGGTGCAGAACATAGCAATCTTGAGAACTAGAGACATCTCCTCTCTTGTTCTTGCAACACTAACATCCAGTCTTTTGTCAAAAAGCTCAGTTAGTGCCACTCCTTCATGAATTGATCTCCTTACCCAAGTCACCAAATCGCCTCCCTGATCAAGGGGTTGAACTGGAGACCTACCAGTAATCAATTCCAACAAAACAACGCCATAACTATAGACGTCGCATTTCTCTGTCACTTTCATTGTGTATGCATATTCTGAAAAAAAGAAAAAACTAGAACTTAGTTAGCTTCTGTATGTAAGTAATGCTAATAAAGAGTATCGTTTTAAGTGCCTAAACACCGGTCTTACCAGGGGCAATGTAGCCGTATGAACCAGCAACCGCGGACATGGATTTTGAGTAAGGGAAGTCAATTAGCTTTGCCAAGCCAAAGTCTCCTACATGTGCCTCAAGCATTTCGTCCAACAAAATGTTGTTCGATTTTATATCCCTGTGAATGATATGTGGCTTACAGTCATGGTGCAAATAGCATAGTCCCTCCGCAGCTCCTAAGGCAATTTTGTACCTGCTATTCCAATTTAGTAAACTAGTTGTCTTATTCCCATGAAGTACTTCCCCGAGGCTTCCGTTTCCCATGTACTCATACAAGAGAAGATTGCAATCTTGATGGTAGCAGAAACCATATAGCTTGACAATATTTCTATGATTTATCTTACCAAGTGTAGATAATTCAGCTTGGAAGCTGCTGTCAACACTCGCGGTTTCTCCTTGTGGCTTCAACTTTTTAACTGCAACAAACTCACCATCAGCCATATGAGCTCTGTAGACAGTACCACAAGCTCCCCTTCCTATGATCGCGCTGTCTGAGAAATTTCCAGTAGCATCGACAAGGTCCTGATACGTGAACCCTTTTCGTGGAAAGTAATGATCATTCAAGTCATCCGGCTTTACTTGATTTTCCACGGACACAAAAGCTGCTTTGTGGCCTCTAATGATCCTACATATAACTAAAATCAATACCAAAGAGATCATCCCAACAGTCGCAGAAACAGCAGTAATTATTTTTTGCCTAGAAGAACCGTGTTTCAACCAGTTTGACTTTGGAGCAATCCAAGGGGCCGGAGGAGGATCACAGTGGATGGAATCGGACGTGCATAACCCAACAGATAACCCAACATTTCCAGCAAAGTTGCTCGAGTCCATCCTCTTAAAGGCAGGCGTGTTTGGTACTGATCCCACAAGGTTATTGTTAGAAAGATTGCATACTATCAGACTCATCAACTGCCCTATTGAAGTTGGAATCTCACCAATAAGCTGGTTGTCATTTAAGTACAATGTTTCAAGCATCTGCAAGTTCCCGAGGGCGCTAGGAATCGATCCATTGAGAGCATTGTGACTCAGATTCAGAGAAATCTGAAGAGTTCCAAGGTAGCCAAGCTCAATAGGAATACTACCAGAGAAGAAATTGCCTCCCATTTCCAAATCCGTTAGTCTTGCTAGTCCACCTAAGCCACCAGGTATCTGTCCATTAAACTTATTATCAGATAGCTTAAGCAGTTCCAAGTTGACTAGCCTGCCAAGTTCATCCGGGAGATTTCCAGCGAACGAGTTCTTGCTAAGATCAAGCCTTTGGAGACTTAAACAATTCCCTAATTCATGAGGAATATCACCCGAGAGCCGGTTGGAGGAAACATTAAAAGCAACAAGCTTCACAAGTTTTCCAATATCAGGAGGAATTTGCCCAA